GGCAGAAATAAAACAAACTCTTCTAAATTGCGTTATCAAGCCGGAAAATATCTAATTTGAAAAAGAAATAGACGATTAGCAGACCCGCAATCCTCTACAGATGGATCCTCTACACAATGTTTGGCATTAAAAATTTAGGTCTGGAAATCTATACTCAGCACATAAATGGGTGTCTACTGTTTTTCACAAAACGCCAGGTTCTGGTGTTCGAACCAGTAAAATGCAGATTTTACAAGCATCTGAATGCAATGGTAGAAACTGAGGAAGGCGTGAAAGAAAAAATAAGAAAGGAAACTAAAAATGAAGAATTAAACAAGAAAAGAAACATTTTTTCTTTCCATTATTTTATATTTTTTATTATTATTTTATTTATTACTCTTTTTATAATTTATTTCTTTTCTCTCATTTTTCTCTTCATTTTCTTTTCTATTTTATTTGTCATTTCTTTCCTTTTCCCGCCCTTTTTATTTATTTGTTTTCACCCTTTCCTTATTTTATCAAAAGCATTTTTATTTTCGATCCCCAGTAATGTTTTCTTCTTTCTTTCGCACCTTTCAACTGTCTTTTTCTCTGTTCTTTAAAAAACAAAACAAAAAAAACCCTTTACGCCTTTGTTCTTTCTTTCTTTTGAACCCCTTTTACCCCCTTCATCCTTCCACTCTATTTATTTCCTTTTCATTCTTTTCTATCACTATCCTTTTTTTCTTTTTTTTTTTTGCTTCCTTCCTGTAAAAACATCACCATCAAAGCAATTCTGTGATTCGTTAATATTCATAGTCCAACAAAAGACCCTGGAAGAACTACCTTTCCCTCCACTCTGTAGAGGGTGCTACGTCCGCCTTTTTGCCGCTTGATTCACACATTTTAATTCGTTCGATTAGCGGCAGGTGAATGCAAACAGCAACAACAGTAGCATTCTGCAGCCAATGTCCGAATTTTTTTTTTAATGAATTGTAACACTGGTTAATATATTTCCCTAAAAGACAGCTTAACACGTGTTGACGGCTTTAATAAAATGGAAAAACTAGTATAAAATGCTGATAATGAAACTACTTCTAATAATCCCAAATATAATTATCATTGTAACTATTTATTTTCTTTAATGTTAATAATAATGTTTACGATTACAGGTAAACAAAAACAATTTAATATTAGTAAAATTTCATAACATTATGCAATGGTTAATTATGGGCTTTGCAGGAACTATATAAATGATAATGGCCAATCTGGCATCCTTATTGCTAAAAACTAAGTAGAAAATTTAAGCATCTTAAAATATCCTGTGCGTTTTATACAGTAGGTACCTCCATGAGATCGCTAAAAAAAAGAGCATAGCATGATGAAAAAGACGCCAAACTTGACGAAAACAAAATTTTATCGTCTAAATGTTCATGTTATTATTAAAATTAAAGATCAAAGTATTTTGAGGGTATTTTTTTTACATTTTTTAATCGTTCCTAGCACGTCCAAAATTTTCGTTAAAAATCTTGTTTTTTTTTGAGTCAGCAAAATTGACAGATAATCAATCATGGCAACCATTTTTTTCCATTTTATAAAAAAATGAAAATCTCAGTTTGAAATTCTTTTAAAAATCAATTATCATTTTTTCAAAACTTATTTTAAGAAAATCAGAAATTATAATGTTTATTTAAAATATTTTGAACCAAGCTTAACTTAGCTTCTTCGCCGAAAAGATGTTGCTTGAAAATAAAACAAAGCAGGTCATAATCTTTCGCGTCACTTGACATGTAATGAATGACGTATTGACGAATTACGTGAGGATAATTTGTTATACGGAAGGAGAAAAGTGAAATTATTTAGATTTCAGTGAACAAATTATTTACCTTGTTATTTTTAAGGAAAAACTTCAGCGCTCTATTTTTTTTTTGTACTTAGCTTTCACCTTTACGTTTACGATGCTTTATGGAAAATATATTATAAAGAAATTAAAATAAGACTGTTAAGAGTGAGATTAAATTTCATAAGAAAGGTATCTAATTAATTTATAGGTATCTTTCTTATGAAATTTTATCAGAACTGTACATAAAATACTATAATTTTATGTACATTTCTTACATTTTACTGTGTCATTTGTATTTCCATTCATTTTATTATTAATTTTGATATTTCATTTATGGAAAAATGTCATAACTGAGATTAATATAAAAATAACATGATATAAATTTCATAAGATGATACTGTTACTTGTAGGTAACCTTCTCAGTTGAAATTGAAAAATCAAATTAACTTCTCTACACGTGTTTCGCAAAAGGAAAGGCCTTAACAGCGGAGAACAATGCTTAACTCAAATAATGCAACTTAATTGTATTCTGGTTGGTCTTCCGTACATTATAATTACAGCTCGATTATAAACACAAAATTACATTTCTTAATTACTGAGGGTCTACTGATTAGTCAAAACTATACAATTTACAATGTGGTAAAAAAAGATCTATCGCATAAGGACATTTACGAAAGTGGTGCGACTTTTAACTAATTTTATAATATTTTAACAACTTAAATGTAAAAATCTATTGTAATTAAAGAAATAGCAAATAATTGTATTAAAAATTCATTTTTCATCGAAAAAAATTTTTGCTTTCAGAAAATATTGTCCATATTCATAAAAACAACTAAAAGCAAATAAAAGCATTTGAAATTAAATAATATCTTTATTTTATTGAGTTTTGTATGTTACAATTCAGAGCTGATTTTCAGGGGTGGGGGTGGGGGGTGGTGGTCAATTAAAAAACAACATATTTTGCATTCCTCAAAGTCTTGTGCTTTTAACTATTGTAATCACTAAACTGGATTCGATTGAATTTCTAGAGTTTTCATAAAATTAATTATGGTGTGTATGGGGGTGGTGGTGGTGGTAATAAATATAAAAAAAATATTTCTACCATGATTTTAATAAAAAAAAAAACACATATTTATAATAATTTTCATAATCTATGAATAGTTTCTGAAAGTTTCATTAACATCCGACAATTATTTTTATTTTTGCAGGATTTTCCAAATTACTGTATGCCATACAAAAAAAAAAAAAAAAAAAAAACCTAAAAATTGTATATGTTATTTTACTAGTTCCGGTGATACAAAGTGAAACACGGTTTTTTTAATCAAAATTTAGAATTTCTAAAAAGAAGGAAAAATTTTAAAAAATAATTTAAAAAAACATTGGTCTTTCCTCTTAATACTAACATAAGCATTTAGACGACAAAATTTTGTTTTCGTCAAGTTTGACGTTTTTTTTCATCATGCTATGCTTTTTTTTTATCAATCTCATGGAGTTACCTATCTTATAGCAATTACTAGCAAATTAGTCTTCCAAAACAATAGTTTGTAATTCTTTCGATACCTCATATATGTATATCCCTGTACCATAAATAATCTAATATGTGCGCTTAGTGTAACATTTAGCCACTTGGAAAGAGAAATTAGCGAGCCAAGTTCGAAATTCCGACCGAGTTCATTATGTTTAAAGGCAACACAGAATTAATATTTTTGTGGATGTCTATATCGATTAACATTGAAACCTTTTTGTTGTTGTTTTTTTTTTCTAATGTTCACCCAATACAAGGCCCAAGAAGCACTCAAGGTAGAGGGTTACTTTGTGGCATTGGCATTAGCATAAGAAAGGACAAAAAGTGAAATTCTTGGGGCCATACAGGAAAGATAACAGATAATTCTAGACATGAAGTCAAATGTTCAGTCAGAGACACATTAGAATTATAGTGTAGAAGTAAATTTTGGAAGGAACCGGAAACGCAATTCTGTCCGGGAAACAAGGGATAAATCTTTACTTCTGTTCAAAAGATGGAGGAGGAGTGTGAACCAGATGATAGGCGAACCTGTCTACTCCTAATGGGAAAGATGAAAAAATAATTAGTGAATAAAATTTCAGCGCACAGTCGGAGACGTAGAAGTATAAAGTTGAAGTTGACTAAATAAATAGTTTTTTTGTGAGCATGAAGGTTAAAAATTGCCGACAAACTTTTGCTGCATAATGTTACAGTGAGCAGCTGGTTTGTTTGAATGACATATTGGAAAAGAAAAGATAACGAAGGAAATTAACAAACGTTTTTGCTGCATAACAACACCCATCACCATGCAAATTGAATGCAACAAATAACTACAGGATAGAAAATTCTTAGTCAATGGTTCAAAAGTTTCAAGATATTGAAAAATTCTTCAAAGAATAAATCAAAACTCAAATGATTCTTTCAAAATAAAAATGCGCAAATAACTTGAAAAGGTTAAGTTGGGTTAGGGAAGTTTATGAAATATCAATTCATATTGGGTTATTTAATGTCAAAATCAATTTTTAATATTCAAGCCCCGAAGCAGGCATCGATCACGCCCATAGGATGGCACCGGTTGTGTCCATTTTTACTCCCTACCCTTGGCAGGCACTGGCCGTGCCCATGCTTAAGCCCGTAAGCTCTGCTAGATATAGTGATATCAGTGCCATCTGATATCTTGTTAAATGGAAACATCTGTCCTATCACAAAATTGTTTCAGATATTTATTTGACATGATGATTATCAGCTAAGTGAAGTGGACCTCATAAGAACCATGGCAAACGACCCTGACAAAAATGGTCACTAAATGAAGATAAATTACTTTTTTTGACAAAAAATGATAAGAAAAAAAACAATGTTCTCTGTAAGACTGGTCAGGATCAGCTGAAAATAGAGGACGCGAGGAGAGTGACGAGAAACCGTCATGCAGCGACACGAAAGGAAAGACACACACGTTAGACTGTTCATGCACCCTCACCTCACTCCATTTCTGCTTCGCTCATCTATAGCAGCAGGTTACAACCAAAATAAAATTTGCTTACTGCTACAAAAGTCTCATGGTTTTATTTCATGGGTAACGATCTGGCCAAAGAGTTATTTTTAATCCACAAACGTTTGACTGGAAGAATCTGCAGTCTGAAAACGAACCTAGTGTTTGGTCTGAGCTGCAGTGCTACATAGAGCTTATAAATGAATTCATTCTGAACGGAGAGAGAAAATACACATCTGGAGAGATATATATAAATTTAGCGAAAGAGACAATACACATCTAGAGACGAGACAATACACAACTGGGAAAGGTAGAGAGAAAATACATGTCTGAAGAAAGAGAGAGAGAGAGAGAGATGCATCTGGAGACAGAGACAAATACACATCTGTAGGAAGAGAGAAACATACACATATCTGGAGAGAGAAACAAATACACATCTGGGAAAATAGAAAGAGACAGATATAAAAACATCTGGAGATATAGAAAGAACCAAATACGATTCTGGAGAGAGAAGAATACACATGTGGTGAAAGGGACAAATAAACATCTGGAGAAACCTGTATATTTTCTCCCACTCCAGATGTGTATTTGTCTGTATGGATAGAAAGAGACATAATCACATCTGGTGAAAGAAATCTATACACATTTAGAGAGAGAGAAACATATAAACATCTGGAGAGAGAGAGAGAGAGAGAGAGAGAGAGAGAGAGAGAGAGAGAGAGAGAGAGAGAGAGAGAAATATACTTCTGGGGAAATAGAGAGAGGGACATATAAACATCTGGAGAAAGAGATAAATACAATTCTGGGGAGAGACAAAGCCATATCTGCACATCTGGAGAGATGGAAAAAATAAATGCAAATCTGGAGTGAGACAGACACACATCCAGAGAGAGAGACACAAATTTGGCGATAGAGACAAATACACATCTGAAGAGAGATAAAATATGCATCTGGAGAGAGAGAGAGAGACATAAACACATCTGGAAGGAGATACATACACATCTTTGGAGACAGAGAGGCAGTCACACATCTGGAATCAGAGATAAATAACACATCTGGAGAGAGAAAGTGGCAATGACAAATTTGAAGTGAGACACATCTGTAGAGATAGAAAGAGACAAATACAAATTTGGAGACAGAGACAAATACAAATATGAAGAGAGAGGTATATTTTGTATTTCTCTAGATGTGTATTTGTCTGTCTGGATAAAAAAAAGACAAAGTTTAAATCAGTTAATCTTCTTCAGATAAAATTTCAGAAATGTATATTTTATTTTTGAAAAATTTTTAATAAAAAGAATTACATTGTGATGACAGATGGCTAAAAATAGTGCTAGAATCAGTGATGTTTTTAGCGATTTCAAAACAAAAAAATAATCTTAAAATGTAGGGAAATATTCTCCGTAATCTAATGTTCCATTGAATTTTAGATACTTTGGCTTTAAATTTATTATAGTTATTCCTGATAATGTTGTTGATGGACATCCGTATTTACAAAAATCGATGTGTTTATCCACACACAAAAAAAATTTCAAAATTGTTTTTAAAACATTGGTATTCAATGAATTAGAGTAAGCTTTTCCATTTGTGATTCATAAATATAGTTTTTACTTAATGACAATATCATCTAACTGATACAGATTTATACAGAAATTTAAAAGATTTAAAACTTTATAAATTATACTAATTAAAACTTTAAAAAAATAATTCAATAATTCTTGTAAAATTTAATTATTCACTGAAAAAAGGTTTTTCTTAAGACAATAGTGTCCATAATATATATTATTCATAAAAGCAATTAAAAGTTTCTCTAATTAAATAATATCTTAGCTTTGTTGTATTTTTTTATTTTATGATTAAGAGCAAAATTTTGGTAACTGGGGATCCTGTTTTACAAAGAAAAAAAAAAAAGATAATTTAAATTCTCCAAGGAGTTCTGCGTATAACTTATACATTAAATATAATATTAAGCGGTACAAAAATGAATTTCTCAAATTTCATAAAATTAAATAAGTGTGGGGTAACAGATGTAAAAAAATGTTTTTACCCAGTTTTCTAAAAAAACCATTTCTATAATAATTTCATTCATTTGGGAATAAATCCTGAAAGTTACATTAAAACCTGACAATTATTTGATTTTTGGAAGAATTTCCAAATGAAATCAAAGCAAAAAGATGCCGTTGATCTTTTCTCTTACTAATACCATAAAGATTTTGACAATAAAAATTTGTTTTTAATAAGTTTCGAGCATTTTTTTCATCATAGCATGCTCATTTTTTAGCGAATCTGTGGAGTTACCTAGTTTTAAGGTACACTATATTCATGGGGAAAATGCTCAATATCAGAGATACAGCATATGTAAATAATAGGGAAATGAAGGCAACCCAATCGCCTAAGGAAAAGAAAAACTAAATATGAATAAATATTTGGCAACTTTGCTCTTAAACCATTCGACATGTTTCATCATAAATGTCTATTTTGAATCCACCTGCTGCCCAACTCTGATCCTTATCGTCAATACCCCAAAGTGATATTAATCATCTAGTAATACCCCTTGGCCTGGACGTAGTCTAAAGCCTTATTCGGCAGCCTCTCTTGAGATTGTGTCTCAATAAAATAGTCCAGCCTTCTGTACTGTGATCAGGTTAATAGGAATAGATAGGCTCACCTATCAGCCATCTCACACGCTTTCCATGTTTATTGAACAGGAGTAGAGGATCATCCTTTGTTCCCTGTTTAGGATATGGTTTATCAGGTCTTTTTTCCATGGCCATAATGATTAAATTGTCTTCACCTTTTGGTGAACAGTCTAATCAGTGGCTAAAGTATTGTGTTGGCAGTTCGCTGGCTGCTGCATCCAACTGGTAGTAAGGAGCCCAAACTATTTGGTAGCGCTTAGAAAGGCTGCTCTGATCAATAATTACATAATATTGGGATATTTGTATTGCTATATTGCGCATGGGTAGGTGCCCCTGTATATATTTCCGGTGGGCAACCCTGAGGCCACATTATGTTCTAGTCTCACCCATGTTCTGGCTAGTTTGTATTGCCATTGATGATATGTGATAATTATGTTGGCTTTTTCCCTTTTTTTCTCCTCAAAACAAATCTCCTCATGACAAATACAATGAAAAAAATTCGAGAAAACCAGTAAACAAAAAAAACACTACCCTCTCAACCTTTCTTTTTCCAATGTTTGTAGTATCCATTCCAACTTCTGCAGTGTAGAATCTTTTCTCTCGGAACGGTTGCCAGATATTTTTGCACTCTGTGAAACCAATTTAAATTCATCCATTGTTACCAATAAATTCTCTGTTCCAGGCTATCTTCCTCTTTGCTGAAAAGATTCCAGTATTCAGATGCATGGCCTTTGTATTTACATCCAGGATAATCTTCCAACTGCAAGGAAATTGTTACTTGAGTCCTCAGACAACTCATTCATGTGTTTTCAATTCTCATTATTACATTCTGTTAGCTATCTTTTTCCTTTATTGCTCCTCTTCTTCTCAGGACTGAAATATATTAGACAAAATTTTGAAACTATGGAAACAGCACTCTCTCTTCATCCATCTGTAAAAACGTTTTTGTGTTCGGTGTTTGGAATGTTACTGATGTTGCCGTTATTGAATTTTTTTCCTTGCTTAGTCCCTTATTCAAATTGTTGATTTCCCTACTCGTTTCCTTAATAAATCTGAGAAGCATGCTTCTTGGTTTATTTCTTACCTTCTCTCTTAGTTCTTGACAAGCTTCACAACACTTTCCTCCTGGCAACTCGGATCACTGTAGTATCTATTGATATTTCGTTCCAATCATTGATTAGACACGAACTTCCTATTCATAAGACCTCTTTCTATTACCAGCATGCTGATTGGGATTCACTCTGTGACTTCCTTTGTGACGCCTCTTGGATTGATATTTTTAACCTTTCGATTAAGACTCACTCCAGTGAGGTTTCTTCTTGGGCCAAAATTGGCACAGATGCTTTCACCCCACCCACTCAGAAATACCAGGTGAAACCTCATCTTCTCCGTAGTTTACACCAGTATGTTCTGCCACTATGATCCCCAGGAACCATTATTTCCAGCAATACTAGTGGGACAGTTCTGATCACAACAGACACCTAATCATGGCTGCACATAGTAAATGTGTCCCCAAAGGAGCTAAATCTTTGTTTGCTGATAGAATGAGACACCATATTGCATCCACCAATTTCAGCTCTTGTGATTACTTTTGGCTCTGTAATAGTGTATTAAATAAAAGTAAGTTTTTATTCTTCCACTTTTCAATCAATTTGAGGTGTTAACATCTTCTACTGATAAAGCTGAATGTCTCACCCATAAATTCTCTTTAAATTCTACTCTTGATTAATCTGGAGTATCTTTGCCTAACTTTCCATTTAGAACTGAATCTCTAATTAGTGATATACATATAACCTCTTCTATAGTTTCTGCTATCATCTCTAATCTGAATCCTCACAAATTATGTGGATTTGATGGTATCCCTTTAATTGTCCTTAATAAGTGTGCTCCCAAACTGGTTCATGTTCTCTCTAAACTGTATAATAAATATCTTGCTGCCTGTTGCTTTCCTGTTTATTGGAAATCATCGTCTGTTGTTCCAGTCTTTAAGAACTTAGGTGAACTGTCTGACCCTTCCAACTATCAGCCTATTAGTCTTTTACCCCTTTTTGGTAAACTACTACAGGCCCTAATCAATACTGAATTGGTTAAGCATCTCGCATCACAGACAAGCAATATGGCTTTCATTTCTCTAGGTTAACTGCTGATGTATTACAGATTATTATCGAAAAAGTCTATCAAGCTTTAGATAAGAATGGTGAAGCTTGGGCTGTTGCTTTGGACACATCTCAAAAGCTTTTGACAGGGTTTGGCATACAGGTCTTCTTTACAAGTTGAAAAGTTACATTGTCGCCAGACAAATTTTTGAACTGATTAATGTTTAACCATCTCACAGCCTCAGTGTCACATAACAAAGAAGTGGAAATTCATATTTTCTTGGCAAATCCATTTTGAAGCAGTTAAATTTGAAACTATTCAATATCAATGGCCTCTATCGAATGAGAAATGAATAAACCTCCTTAAAATACAATTATTGTATCTTTCACAGTTCTTCTTCTGTGTGCCATGTCCCTTTTTGAGAGAGAAAGAAAAGAGAGGAAAGGAAGAGATAGTGATGAAGAGTGTAAAAGAAAAAAAGTATAGTGATAAAAAGAAAGAAAGCAGAAGAGAAAGATAGGTGGATTGAGATAGGAAGAAGAAAGAAGACAATAAGAAGAAGAAGAAGACAACAGAGGAGTTTAGATAAAAGGAGAAAAATTGAAAGAGAGAGGAGCAGATGAGATATATAAAGATCACATGTTTGAGGAAAAAATATGAGAAAGAGAGAGAAATATAAACTTTATAAACAAATGTGACAATGCAGTTTCAGGATCAGAAAAATACAGGAACTAAAATACAATTGATGCATTATAAAGTAATCAGGTATAAACAGATTGAGTTATGAACAGACTAAAATAGAAATGAACAAACTTAGAGAGGTAGGTATATACAAGTTAATGCAGAATATCAAATCAACTAAAAATAGATTGTCGCCTTATGGTAGAGAAAGTTATGTATTGCATACCAGTAAAAGAGGACAGTGCTCAAAACCAAGTAAAAAGCCAGGATTTCAAATGCTGATTTTTCAGACAGTTAAGTCTTCTTCAGTTTGAAGCATAACATAATCTTTTTTATCATTTTTTTCATGTGGAAAATTAAACTTTTGTTAAATGCTTTTCTCATCTTTAAGTTGTACATTTCCTAATGTAGCTGTGTAAATCAACAGATATAAAGAGAGAAACAAATATAATGAGAGTATGTCAGTTATTTTGCTTGATAAATAATGAAAGTGATGTATGGAGAGAATATACAATTCAGGAGCAAATATTAAATGAGAACATGTGAAAAGGAAAAGTAATATT